TACACAACTTAGCTGTTATCAGGTTCCTGTCTCTGCCTTCTATTTCCAACACTTTCTTGGATTTGCGCCAGGATATTGAGCTATAAATAATCACTGTATTTTTTTTTATCATTGCCTGGTGAAGTCCATACGCCGACAAAATCAACGTTCTTGCTTACAAAAAGCTTCAATTTCTCCAAATCACCCGTCCAGCAAAGCCGTAGTTCTTGCATTTCGATTACAATACTTGCGACAGAGTATTACAGCAAATAACTCAAAAAATTTAAGAATAATGCGGAGCGATATATTACACGTCTAACCACACGATTGACGATTTGTTTGTAAGCATGCTACTGTTTGCGTTTGCGTTTGCGTTGTATAATTTGTTGGCAAGCCTCTGTGAGGGACACCGAATCCTTTTGCTCACTTTCCTGTTGATTCTAATTTGTCACAAAAGTCGTAAATAAACATTTCATTCAAAGACGTCTTTAAAACGAAAGTCACAGTATTCATCAATAGCTTTAGAAAATTCTAACACAGACTTCGCTCATAGGCCCCTATAGGGCTAATATATATATATATATATATATATATATATATATATATATATATATATATATATATATATATATATATATATATATATATATATATATATACATATGATAAATTTAAAGAGGTTAGTACTAGGATACAATCAAAAACTGCATGATCAAATAGGATTACCTTGAGGAACACTTGTGAGGCGAGATGGTTCAGTGTTGGCTGTGCCTATGAATCCAAATTGGATCCGCTTGATTGTCGAACTGAACTTGTGTTCTGAGCTCACGAGTGGAAGGAAACATTCAAGGTAATCCTATTTGATCAGTTTTTGATTGTATCCTAGTACTAACCTCTTTAAATTTATCATATGTATGTATGTATATATATATATATATATATATATATATATATATATATATATATATATATATATATATATATATATATATATATATATATATATATATATATATACTATTATAATTATGATATTAATTATTGTAAACATATCTAAATATTCTTTACTTATATTGTAAACTTTTAGTAGCTTCCAGCTTGTACGATAATTGCAGCCAGAATTCTGCCTGCGTTCCAGTGATTAAATTAAGGTTGTATCTTAATAGTTAAGAAATAAAGTTTGATGTTTCCATAATAATAATTATATTAATAATAAAAATAATAATAAAAGCATTTATTTAAACATGCACGATGGTGAATCAAAAGGCATATCCACACGATACGATTTGTCGTATACGATTCTCATCACCCTGGCGTATGTGATCGAATAAACACGCGTGAACATGTGCAGTGAGATTTAAACTAGTTTCACCATTACAGCGAATGAGCAAAAATGTGGCATCAGCACTCGTTTAAATACGTCAGAATGACAATCGTATGCGACAAATTCACAATCTAATTTCAGGTAGCAGATTATTCCAAAGTTGCTGCAGCGTGGGCCGTCGAGGAGTGGAAGTAAAAACCGCTTGCGTGCGATGCGAGGTTGACATTTGTATTGCTTTACATGGGAATAACGGTTGTATAACCTGCATGTTATGTATGGATTGTATTGCCATGCATGTGTTGCGTCAAACTACGTCACAAATAATCCGTTCAGGTTGTACAATTCATGTAAAAGAGAGTGAGAGAAAACTACAACGCGGTTTTAGTATTTCTAGTTTTTATTAGCGCAAAAAATATGAACACTAGTCAAAAACATGAACATGAGCCAGTAAACCATTAACACCAGTAACACCGGACAAAAATGTATTTTTTAAACATATGCATAACTTATTTATATCACCAAGCTTTGCCGACGATTGTAGTACCGTTTCGCAGTGCTCAAAGGTGTTACGAAAGTATCTAAATAGTATAAAAATAGTTCAATTTGCACCCCAGGAAATTATAGATACTAGTTACGTCAAATGGAGAGATAATGAGCATTTTTGCTGTAAAACTCAGATAGGGTATATATCATTTCGAACTTGTGTAAAAGTGTCAATTATCTGTCCATTAGGCAAGATAAATAATTTGTCAAAGTTGGATGATAGCCTTGCATGGTGGGTTGTTGTTTTTACATAATTCAAAGTCCAAGGCTTGTTCTTCTTTGACATGAAAATGTGCATGCTTAGGGCCTTTCTGTCAATCATTCTTCGGTATATTTCGCGCGGTTGAGTAATGATAACATTACGTCATCAAAATCTTGGTTCAATAAAATTGTAAGTGAATTTAGTTTAGTAGGTAAAGTAAGGTTCACATAGGATAGGTTGAAGTTTTTACTATGATATTTTGATAATATGAAATATTTTGATTTACTATGATATTTTAAGTTGTGAACATGTTTTAACATTGATCGACTGAACAGTGAACCAACTCGACCAGTGACACAACGCCTTAAATAAACAGAATTTGAGGGCTGGAACGAGCTAGTAACGCCAACCCACACTTTCAAACCTCAACGTTGATTGGCTGGATACAAATCACACCACTTGCTACATCACGTGTGTAAAGATCCCTCAACCGTTAGTATAAAAGTGCGTGCACAATCCAAATTCGTCAGTGGACTATAGAGTGAAGTCAGTGAACGTAGACTCGCTAGTGGATGATCTTTCAGTGGACTGATCAGTAAAGTGAAGCAAAGTGAAGACTGATGAGTAAAGTGAAATGAAGTGAACTTTAGGAAACTACTACGAGAAGACGAACATTATATTAAGAACTGATACTTATTTAAGATTGTTGTAACGATTCACTACACTACTTAAATAAAGCCTTGTAACAAAGGCATATAGCCTATCCTCGTCCTTTTATAGGTGAACGAAAATCTTCTCCTAAATTAAAACTAATTTCTCAACAGTTTGTTCATAACGCCGAAAATATCTAGACCATTAGAAATCGTACTTTCGCAAGTTTAGCAAATTGTCATTGAGAAATATTTAACCTAAAGGTCCAAGGTTAGCGCTAATATATCTCTGAAAAACTGGCCACAGCAATTAGATCAACGATTAATTAACAAGAACCCAATCTTCTCGTCCAATACGCCTCTCAAAACGAGTACTGTAAACACATAAAGTATTTGACTTCAAACGAGTAACCTAACTAACACCATAACCAAGATAAGTCTTTCTAATATCAACCGATGCAGTTTTTTGGCTATATAAACCTTGCTCAATATACGTTACTATAATAATGTCAATATTTGCAAATGCATGCAATTACGTCTTTCAAACATCCTGACTTTTTCGAACACTGAGAAAAACAGTATTAATATGCCCAAATAACTTGAGCACTTAGCTATCCTAAAGATAATTAAAATCAAGATTTAGTACATTGTTAACAACATGAAGATGGTCTGGTGAAAGCATCTGAGACAGAACGGGAACGACGACGACACGACCATCAAATACAGGATTCTTTAGCATAATATGCTCTTTAACAGGATGATAATACGTGGCTTTAAAGTCTGGATTAAATAACAATTGTCCGCTTTGGTCACGTCCAGTTATCATTCTGTTCATATGCCTAACAACCAGGTTATTAGGTGGCATTCGATATCCTTGCGTGAACTCTTGATAACAGCCACAGCATTTTGTGACAGAATTTGGTAAAAGAACCAATTCGTACCGGTATGGGGACATGCTGGAATTCCAGGAAGCAAAACGATTGATTGCATTGCTTTGCTGCTGTATATCAACACAACTTAATTGGCGACGTTGTGGTTGCGGAATGCCGATGCAAGGCTGGCTTTCAATCTGACCGCAGGTGGCAGATGACGTAGAAGGCTGTTGGAATGTAACACTATCTCTATTACTGTACTGTACGGCCGAAGTAAGGGTTGGCTCACGCGGAGTCATCAGTGGAGCAAGAGAGGATTGTGCACCAGTGACGACGTATTAGTTTGTTGACTGGAATACGGATGCCGTCGACAAGAATGGAGGATAACGAGTCAAGCCGGCCGGCATACTCATGAATGATGACTGTTGGATATTGGGATGGTTTACCGATCCAGTAACAAAGGAACCATCACTTGTAGTTGGTTTTCTCTGAATTAGATCTTCTGCAATCGACTCTCGAAAGGATTTGGATTTTCTGCGAGAAAGTTTTTGAGCCTCGTTCTGTTTGTGTCCTTTTAATGAAGAGCTAAGATTCCAACGTTTCCATGTGGCAAGATGTGATCATGTCAACGGTGAACCGTCAAAGACTCCGCATTACTTTGGTCAACAACAACAAACAAAACCAAAACTTCATCTTATGGACCATCATCTTCATCTTATTATATACTTATATATTATTATTATTAATTAATAAAAATTAATAATAATTATTAATAATTAATTAATAATAATTATTATAATTAATTACTAATAATTATTACTAAATAATAATTGTTGTAATAATTAATATATCATATAATTATAATTCATTCTAATATAATTATAATAATTATAATAATTATAAGTATTATTATTACTATTAAAATTGAATAAAGTTTTCGTTTTGATTTTAATTATTATTAATCCAACATCCTGTGGGCCGCCAAGAAACTCGCGTGCAATTACACAGTACAAATCTTCATCACGGGCTTAAAACTGTAGGGAGCCTCTTTAAGAATGCTTTTTTGACTCGTGTTCGTCAGTTTTTGACTCGTGTTCACTCGTGTTCGTCAGTTTTTGACTTGTGTTCACTCGTGTTCGTCAGTTTTTGACTCGTGTTCACTCGTGTTCACAGATTTTTGACTCGTGTTCACTCGTGTTCGTCATTTTTGACTCGTGTTCACTCGTGTTCGTCATTTTTGACTCGTGTTCACTCGTGTTCGTCATTTTTGACTCGTGTTTACAGATTTTTGACTCATGTTCACTCGTGTTCGTCAGTTTTTGACTCGTGTTCACAATTTTTTGACTCGTGTTCACTCGTGTTCACAATTTTTTGACTCGTGTTGTCTCGTGTTCACTCGTGTTCTGACTCGTGTTCACTCGCGTTGTCTCGTGTTCACTCTTGTTCACTCGTGTTCTGATTCGTGTGGTCTTTTAGAATAGATCATTTAACAC